AGCCGTAATAACCACTATACGAAAGCTGCTTTGATGCTCCTCTCACATGCAAAAGTATACATATAGACTTAACGGGCTCATAACTAGTCGAAACTTCCTCCGAATCTCTCCCCACCAAGATGGTCGTAGCCGGCGCGATGATGGCCTTGCTCACGCACCCTTTGCTGTTCGGTGGCAAGAATGGCACTGGTGTCCGAAGAGCACACTGAAGGTTTGCCCTATTGCACTTGATCTCTCGAGTCTCAACCGTCTCATGACATAGGTGCCGTGCAATAACGTCGATGGGTCGCTTTGGCGAGGAGAACATTTTGAAGCTGAGCTTCACATTGGCGAGAGCGCTCGTCGGGTACTATTACCGTCCTTGTCCACCGCGTGAGCATATCGCCGACTTCTTGCGCACGACCATGGCCGAGCATTCCTCTGGGTCCCTCGGGCACCGGACCAGGCCGACTTCTCATAAACAAGAGTCGAATCACGCGGAGCAGCTTTGGGGTCATTGTACAGGTTCGATTTTTTGAAGGTAGTGGGTAGCCAACATGCGTGGATGTCGACGTGAGCCAAGCAGCCTCGGCAACAGAATACGGCTGTGCCGGGACGCAAGGAGCCCAGGGTGGGTGGCTATAGAGGCGAGCGCCTACCGTGCCAGCGTGCCCGGTGACACAAAGGGTGCGGAGACGATCGAAACCTAGGGGTGGGGGCGGATGGATGTGGAGCAATGGCACGAGCCGTTTCTCGTGCCACGACTGAAAGGAAGAGCGGCCGGCAAGTCGACAATCATGCCGCAAATCCGTTTCTTTTGGAGAGGAGATGCAAGGTGTGAAGAGAAGGGCCGGGGGAAAAGAGAGGGAACGACAAGATGCTAGGCAATGCACGGGACGAACGACGCTGCAACGAGGCAAGATCGACGAGTGCTTAAGCCTGGGTCTTGCGGGAGGCCTTGCGGGCAGCCTTGTGGGCGGCAACCTCGGTCTTCTTCTCGGCGACGCGCTTGGCAAGGAGCTGCTCGTACTCCTTCTTCTGGATGTTCTGAGCCTCAGCCTTGCGGATCTTGAGCGAGCGCTGGTGACGCTTGCGCTGGAGACGCGAGGCGGTCACGAGACGCTGGATCTTGGGGGCCTTGGTGTAAGGCTTGGCACCCTCCTTCTTCGAGACGACCTCGCGGCGAACGACAAACTGGCGGACGTCGTCCTCCTTGGAGAGGTTGAAGAACTTGCGGATGTGGTTGGCACGCTTGGGACCAAGGCGCTTGGGGACGGTGGAGTCGGCGTCGGTGAGGCCGGGGATCTCGTTGTCGCCCTGCTTGACAACAATGAGGTGGAGGGCCTGGATATCGGGGCCGACGATGCAGCCACGGACCGACTTGCGCTTGCGCTCACCGGTGCGGCGGGGGCGGTAGCACGAGTCACCCTTGGAGAGGAGGAGACGCACACGGTTGGGGAGGAGGACACCCTGCTTCATGGGGAAACCCTGCTTGTCGTTACCACCGCCGATGCGGAGGACGTAGCCCTTCCACTCGTCGCCGAGCGAGTCGACCTCGACGTCCTGCGACATGCGCTTCTCGTAGAAGCAGCGAACGAGGCGCTCATCCTGGATGTCGAAAGACTTCTGGGCACCCGTGGCCGGGTTAGCAACGTTGAGCTTCATCTGTAAGGGTTAGAGCAACAGGGGCTGATGGTGAGCAAGTCGAATCGCAAGAGGACGGGTAAAGGCGCAAAGCAGGCAACAATTGCAGGTGATTGACCTTCGCAAGAGAGACGCAACACACTGTGAGACTGTCGATCGTCGAAGTCGGTGAGCAGATAGGGGCAACTGCGGATGTATATGTTGGTGGAGGAATCGATGCGTGGCACAGAGTGTGGCGATGGGAAGAACAGCGCTTGGCTTGGAAGATGCGAGCCAGTGACTCGGGTTGATTGGTTTGACGGAACTCCTTGCACTGGATCATGCTGCCCGCCGTCGCCAATGACTGACGCGCAAGCGACAGGAGCAGTCTCCGAAGCTGTCGGCTGCGAGCTGATTGCTATGTATGTCATTCGGACCATCAACTGCTCTTTGTCGATTTGACTCCGATGATATTGGCGGCCAGAAGTGGCTTTGTCGATGCGGCCATTACACGTGGCTGAGAGCGTGAGAGTATTGTATAGAGGCTGCAGAACGATGGCTGCACGAGTAGGTGATATCGGCCTTGCTGATAAGGGAGCATAATCTCGTCTATACCGGGTCGGATGCGTCCTGGTGCCTGGCGGATGTCGGTGATTGCGGCGTCTGCGTGTGCGTGGTGTGTGCTGCGTCTCTGATGCGGGTGGCGATGGTGCTGCGTTTGTGCTCGTGCGGGGTACCTACCTTGACGAATAGTTGATATGATGAGGTTAGAAGTCAGACAAGATCGTGAGCAAACTCGAATCGCAATGTCGAGCTCTCGTCGCGCTGTTGGCTCTGCTGGCTGTGTACGTTCTTCGTTGGGGCTTCACACCGGCGCCCTGAGGGCTTGCCTGCCCAACGACCCATCTCTTGGCCTGCCCTGCGTGCCACTCCAAGTCTGCTGCCGTTTTGCCCTCACTTGGTTGGCTGGACTTGCAGGAGGAGCCTGAGTGTGGTCGTGAGTGCGGTGCTGCGAGGAAATTCAACTGTGGATCCTCGGCCGAGCTTTAGCGGGTCACGTGCAAGCATTTTTGTCCCCTCAAGATTCTGTTAGGCAAAATTGCACAGGGCGTGCGACGCCCTGTTACCGACACTGGAAGGCGCCGTCGGCCAAATCAAGAGCTGGCTGTGGGTCTCGCTTTCGAGAAGGAAGCCAGGTCCTGGCCGCTCGAGGACCTGGCCGTGCTGTATCGGTCGACAGAGGCAGCGCAGTCGAGCGCTGCGACGGTGAGAGCGGGTGCCCGGCAGTCGTGCTCGCCATCACACTTTCCCTCTCGCCTTCAGGAATCTAGTCCATCACCGTCGTCCTCAAGATCAATAACATTTAGGTACGTTCCTACGACTTACTGTCTCGCACAGCAACAGCACACATAGCCGAGAGCGACAGTCTAGCTGACCTTTGTCTTGATCTCGCCCTTCTTGCAGGTACGTACCTGGCAGCATTGAATGGCCCCTTGGAGGAATCCGGTCCACAGGAAAGGTGGTGATATCAACATCAGTTCAGGGCGATTGGAATCGCGCAGGCATCGTCGTGATGATCTTGGGCAGCAATCGCAACGACACCACTTGGAGGCAGAGCATGGAGGATTTAGGAGGATGATGTTGTTTGCACCCGCCACGCCATTTTGAAGATACAATTCGACAACTATACGCAACCACATCAGCACACGCAGCCGACACTCTCGCCAGCACCTGCGTTTCAACGATATCACGCACGGTGCTCTCGCCAGCCACTTGCAGCACCGACACAAATCCGTCAGATCAACGCAGGAATTGAAGGATGGGTGACGGATTCGAGTAGGCCCTGTGGAACGCTTCGAAAGAAGCGTGAAGCACGGATACCTCAGGGGACCGATGTAGAACGAGCTTCATGTTGGTCTAGTGCTGACTGTTTGCTGTCTTTCTGTCCGATCACGCAACAAATTTCCAACCATCGCCCGACTTGTTGTTCGACCACCATCATCGACACATCTTCGACATTCACCACCTGCAGCCAAAATGGGTCGCATGCACTGTAAGTGTCCACCTCCATCGCCGCAGGCGAGCAGTTCGGCACAGCAGCTCGGCATCGTTCCGCCAGCCCTCTCGTCATCACTTCGCATAGCATCGCATCGCTGGAGTCAACAAGCCACACCTGCCGTAGTGCTGGCCTGCACATGGTCGTCGTTCCGGATTCGATGTCGGAAGCAGCAATGCATCCGACTCGTATCCAGGAGTTTCACCGGTAACAGCTCTAAAGCGTTTGCGACGATGTCCACGATCACGAAGAAGGCTGGCGCTGCAATGTGCCAAGCTGTATGCTGCAATAACCCACCCCAACCACCTCACCCGACGCAGATCTGACTGACACGAACCGCGTTTTACGCCGCGATCCACCACTCCAGCCAAGGGAAAGGGTATCTCCGCTTCGGCTCTGCCCTACCGCCGCACTCCCCCCTCGTGGCTCAAGACCACGCCCGAGGAGGTTGTCGAGCAGATTGTCAAGCTCGCCCGTAAGGGTATGACCCCCTCGCAGATCGGTGTTCAGCTCCGTGACTCGCAGGGCATTGCCCAGGTGCGTTTCGTCACCGGTAACAAGATCCTGCGTATCCTCAAGTCGCAGGGCCTTGCTCCCCAGATTCCCGAGGACCTGTACCACCTCATCAAGAAGGCCGTCTCGGTGCGCAAGCACCTCGAGCGCAACCGCAAGGACATGGACTCCAAGTTCCGCCTCATTCTCATCGAGTCGCGTATCCACCGTCTGGCCCGCTACTACAAGACCAAGGGTGCCGTTCCCCCTACCTTCAAGTACGAGGCCGCCACCGCTTCCACCCTCGTTGCCTAAGCGTAGAGATGGTTGCATCTTCGTTTTGTACTTTGTTGATCCTGTCCACGGTCTGAATCAGGTCAGACCTAGGGATGAGCTCTTCGTCCCGAATTCACCCCCCAAAATCTCATACAGCTCCCTAGCTTTTGACAGGGAGCGTTTGTTTCCGCATCCTTTCGCGCGACGTGTGCTCATCTCTGCGTGGTCCGAAAACTCAGCAGACAGGGAAGGGCGAGAGACGGGAGAACTGAATTGCATGCCGTGACGAACGTGATGCTTTGTGATGCTTTGAGACTGGACAGATGCTGGAAGATGCTGACCCGACAGGGACTGAGGCGAGAGAATGCATGCTGACGACAAACGATACCAACAGAAAACGGCAGAGAGGAGCAGGAGGAATCTACGGGGAAGGTCAGATATGAACATGAAGAGGGATCGGGACTGCAGGCCAAAAATCGTGGGTCAACCGAGGATGCCGATGCTGTCCGAATAGCTGGGAAGGGAGTTGGTGTCGCGCTGCGACTGGGAGATGGTTGCCCTGCGGCGCGACTGGGCGGCGGCGGCGGCGGCGTGCTCGCGGTCAATGAGGCCGAGGGCGAGATGTTCGGTCAGCTCGTCCTCCTCGTCGACGTCTGCCTCGTCCGGGATGGGGTCGAGCGAGGGCACTTCGAGAGCCGACGACGCCGAGTCGCTCGAGATGGACGCGGCGGATGAAGCGAGTTCTTGCCCGCGAGCAGCCACATCGCCAGAGTCGGCGAGCATGGTCATGTCCAGCGAGCGTCGCAGCGGAGTGCGCGCCAAAGGCGTGGCCTGAGCCGAGTCATCAGCGTCCTCGTCGGCTTCGTCATCTTCGTCCATGGCGGTGGCCGCCGAGGAAGCAAACTGCGCCGCCACCGCGGACCGCACGATGCGAGAAGCAGACGCCTCGACCAGACGCTCTTCGTCTTCGTCGAGCACGTCGACGGTCGACAGAGCGTCGTCATCGAGCGCCTCGGCGGCGTTCTGACGCGTAAAGTCGACCGTGTCCGGGTTGGCAGCCACGTGCACAGGCGGAGTCTCCATGACCAAGCTGTCTGCGGCAGCCACCGGCTTAGCCGAGGTCGACGCGAACGCCTTGGTCGCGCCCGGGAGCGAGATCTTGACGCGCAGGCGATACTCGACACGCAGCGCCTTGAACGAGAAGCTGGGCACGACAAGGCGCAGTTCGGGCGCCTGGATGAGCTTCTGCTTGAGCGGCGCCGACGAGCCGGCTTTGATCATCTTTTCGTACCGACCGATGGCAAAGTTGCCCGTGTAGATCTGGCGCGCCTTGCCCTGCTCGTAGAAGGGCGGCAGATGGTTGTCGGTCTGCCGCTCCATATTGACGATGCGAATGCGCTCCGACCAAGAGTGCGGCCCGCTGAAACCAGCGAGCTTGTCCGGGTCCTCCTTTTCGATGACGAGCGTGCCCAGACGCGAGTAGGTCATGACGGAGCGGACCAGGCCGAGCTCGACGTCTGGCACGTACGTGTCGACTAGATGTGCGGGCATACGCAGCTCGAGGCTGAAGGGGATCTTGGTCTCCATGTAGAGCGCGGCCATGGCAGGCACCGAGAGGACGGCCTCGAATGAGCCCATGCCGTCCGGCAGCATGCTTTCGAGCGAGTGCGTCAGCCAACCCTTCATGCGGCCATCGACGCCCTCCTTGACATTGATATAGCTCTTGCGTTGCAGTTGCGGCAAGCCTGGTCGCACTGGCGCAGGGCGGGCGATGGAGCTGGGCGCAAAAGTAGGTGCGTCTTCGAGAGGCAGCGCGCCAAACACCTCCTGGGTTCGTCGGAAGCCGCCGAGGTCGGGTGCCCACGAGTCTTCGTCGATGGCGTCCTCGCCCTCGCCATCTGCCGAGTGGACAGAGGCGGCGTCGGGGGCGGCGACACGCTCGGTGGAGGGCGAGCGGTTGTCGCGCGATGCGACTCTTCGTGCGCGGATGGGCTCGAGCGTCGGCACGGCCAGGCCGGCGGTGCGTGGCGGGTAGGGCTCGACGGCAAACGCCAGAATGATGCGCTCGCCTCGCTTGTGCGGCAGCAGTACCGAGCCAAAGCGCTGTCTGCTGACGATGATGTCAATTTCGTACTTGATCTTTGCCATGGGGCGCAGCTTCTGGCCGTGGAGCTTCTCCTTGACGTGGCCGAAGAGCTGGTTGGGCCTGGGCGGCGCATAGCGGGTTTCCATGTCGATCGAGGGCGGGAGGTCGATGTACTGCTTTCCGCGCTTGAACGACTTTTTCAGCTTGCTATCGAGCATGTCGAGTGCCGATGCGTGCAGCTTGAGGGGCAGGACGAAGCTGAATGGGACCGCGAGATTGTTGCGGCGGCCATGATCGACGAGGCCGGTGGATTCGAGCTCAAAAGAGCCGGACTCCAGATCGGCCTTGGTAGCGAGGGTCTTTTGCTCGGAGAAAAAGAGAAGCTGGCGTCGAGCAATGCCGTGTTCGTTGTCCATCGAGTAGTAGCTCGAGTCGCCGACACCAAAGACGCTAGTCTCGAGGTCGCCGCGGATGCGAGCCTTGATGCCGGTGATGTAGCCGCGTTCGGGATCGTTGCGGAGGAGATGGACGGCGCCCTTGATCTCGTCGCCGGGACGGTAGGTTTTGTAGTCGAGCGAGTCGGTGGGGCCTTCGAGGAAGGCGATCGTCTGGCACGCATGGCGCGCTGGCGTCGAAGAGAGCGGCTTGACCTTGCCGTTCACGTCGATACGGGCGGCGTAGCCGCGGTTGACGGTGCTGGATGTGCTGAACTCGGTGCTGTCGGTCAGGATGGACGCTCGGCAGCTGTCCATGGTAGCGACGCGAGCCAGTGCGGGCCGGCCTGCGAGGTCGTGGTTCATGTGTGCATGTGCCAGCGTATGCGACCGCAGTCGACCCGGCAGAGTGTATGAGCCGTTGGGGAGGGCGGCGAGATTCTCGCGGGTGAGAGCGCCAGTGCCGACCACGGCGCCATCGGAACGGCCGAGCGATGCGCTGGAATTGATGCGGCGAGAAAGGAGTGCACTGCTCTGCATCGGAAGCGCCGACACCTGGTCGCCGGTAGGGGCCATGTGGCGCAGATCAGCCGCAGAGGCACTGCTCACGATCGCCATGGTTGAGAGAGATGCTTAGCGAAGGTTCGAAACGGTGGATCTCATGACAAGATGTGGGTGAGTGTCGCCGGACCTGAGATGCAATTCAGATGTGTGTCTGCTGCGCGACAGATGCTGTGGGCGGGAGGTAGGGTCAATGGTGGGGAGCGGGAGAGGAGGATACGGTGCGGAGGCCGGGAGAGATCCGGACGGCGAGGGGGAGGGGAGGATTCTCAGCCTGAGGCCTACGGGGCTGAGCCTAGGTTGGGAGCAGCGACGAAAGCCGGACCGGCGTAGTGAGCTTGTGTCTGGCGCTGGAGCCGGGACCCTGAGCGCTGCTTGGTGCGTCGAAGGCACGGACGAGTCCTATCTTCTCGATCGCGAGTCGATGCGGGCGAAAGGGGGCCGAAAGTAAGCCACACGGAAGCGCAATTGCGGACCGAGCGGCCAGAGATCCAGATCCGATAACGAGACGGTCGCGCCCATCCCACCGACGTCAACTCCGACACGCCCAATTCACTGATCGTCGGAGGCCCTGGCGCCGGCCACCTCTTCCTCACACACACACACGGTCTTACGCATCCCGCTGCCCGTCTTCCCATCTCAGTCCTCGCAGTGCGCAACGCTAACCTGGATTTGGATTGCTGGCAGGGAGCAGTCGAGTGCGTCAGACGCTCCAATTCCGGCTCCGGCTTGACAACGCCGCCGATGCCCAGCCTTATGGTGACATCGATGTCGAGCTTGGCGGTGCTATTATTTAGCACAGCGATTACAGAAGCAGCATCGACCTGAGGCTGTGTGAAATGGCAGAACGTGGGGAGATGCGGCTCCACCTGCAATTCAACTCAAATCCGATGCAGTCGGCCACGCACGGGATGCGGGGCGGAGCAGCCGAAATTCGCATCTTCTGCCAGCCTCATGCGGCGCTGAAGCGTCCCCATTTTGCAGTCACGAGAGAAGGCGCTACCACCGGCAACCTGTGTTCTGGGCTTCATTGCGGGTGCGTGGCCCGTCCACCTTTGTAAAGGCTCCTCGAGACGGCTCCTTAGATTGCGCCATGGATCGCGTCTCGACTGCCGGCACTCTTGTGCCATCGCTGTTCGGAAGGACGTGGGAAAAAGGCGTGCCGAGATGCCCGCGGGGGCCGCATGGACCAGCAACTGCAGTGCAGAATCGGACGTGGCGCTCCGGCTGTGCTTACTCGTGGCCCACCTCTTCAGCACGGCTCTCAACTGCCGACACTGCCTTCCATCGGAAGCCTTTTCCGACAGCCTCCTCGTCTCACCACTGAGACTGCCAACGGCATTCGACACGAGCTAGCTTTGTGTTTGAGATGCTTCTCTTCCACCGGCCAAGTGACGCGTCAGAGCTGCTCGGCTAAAGCGAATCTAAGTGGTCATCCTTCGCCAGAACTCGGCTCGGCCCGATCCTCGTAGCGCTTACAATCAACGCCTCTGGACCTGTTGACATCATCGCTGCCGCGGTAGCGGCTCGCAATCACCCGCATCGCAATGCCAGCAGACCTGGGACGGAGCGCAGCGACACCGAGATCTCAGTCATTGCGACATGTCACTTTCTATGCACTCACGGCTCGACACGACATCTTCCGCCGGACAACCGCCGGCCGGCAATCTTTCCTGTCCGGCCAGCCGGCAATCTCTTCCGCCAGCTTCACCGCCAGCCCTCAACCTCGTCGCCTTTCTTCCAGTCAATGCTAGACGGAACCACGTGAACATGCATTGCTGAACGTCTGAAGGGAGATCACATGGCGTACTTCTCTTTGCCGATGATACGGACCCGGTCGGACTTGAGAAAGTCGCTGATGCGGTTGCATCCGAACACCGACACCTTCTTGAGGTTGGGCAGGTTGCGGCAGATGCGGTCCAGGCTCTCGTCGTCGAGCGCACGCACAAACGACAGATCCAGCAGCTCCAGCTTGGGCAGGTTCTTGGCGTTGCCCAGCGTCTCCAGGCCCTTGTCCGTGATGCCGTCGACCGAGTTGAGCGACAGCTCCACCAGCTCGGGGCCCGAGTGCGTCAGCAACGGCTCCATCAGGTCGTCATCCAGCTTGAGCATGCGGTCCAGGTGCACATGCGACAGGCCTGCGACGCCGTCGCGCGTCCACTCGGTAAACATGTCCGATACCGTGGCCGCTTCGACCTTTTCGCATCCAATCAGACGCAGTGTCTTGAGCTGGCGGCAGTGCGGCAGCACGCCTTCCTTCACCACCCGATCCGTCAGGTCGATGTTCTTCGACACGTCCAGGTACGCCAGGTTCTTGCCGATCGCCTGGAGCAAGCTCACCACCTCGTCGTCCTCCAGCGACTTGGGTGGGATGCCTGGCGCCGAAACGCCCGGGTCCGATACGTCGAGGTATGTTAGTTGCTCCCCGTACGCCTCCAGAGGCCTGAGCATCGTCTTGTCCAAGGGTCCAATCTGTGCCAACCCAAGCTCCCGCAGGTTGGGGCAATGCTTGACCATCGACTCGGCACACGACAGATCGAAGCGCGGCGATTCCCGGATCTTGAAGCTCTCGAGACGCGGGCCGAGCGCCTCAAAGAAGCGATGCCACGCCTCCTTGCGCACCAGGAAAGGTCCGTACAGCTCGACGCTCTTGAGCTTGGTCAGCTTCTTGGACCACGCGTCGATGGCATCGTTGTCGAGCATGCCGCAAAGCTGTAGGTTGATGTGCTCCAGATTGGGCGCAAACGTGGCGAGACTCTGCAGCGAGTCGCTGTCGAGCTTGCTGCAGTCGTACAGCGAGAGCGTGGTGATGCTGGGTGAAATGAAGAGCTGCAGCGTCTTGGGGTTGAGACTGCGGTTCTTGGAGATCGACTTGCTGATGGCGTCGATGTTGTTGACGCCGATGTGGCCGAGCGCCTCGACATTCTCAATGTGTCGACTAATGATGTCGATGCAGTAGGTCTGCAGGCTTGGGAAGCTCTGGCGCAGTCCGTCCTGCGGCCCTTTGCGGCGGGCCTGCTTCTTCTTGGCTGCAGGTTTGGCCTTGACGTCGCCAGCAGCCCCGGGTCCCTTGTATAAAGGACCGCATCGATGGCACAGAGGGCCCTTGTCGGCCATCTTGGTGTACTGCGTGATGGTGAACTTCATCTTGCACATGCCGCAGTAGGCGATGCTTCCAGGCTTGCGGCTGGCATATGAAAAGTTGGCGCGCGAGCTGCTGGCCTGCGGAAGGCCGAGCGAGTCCTCCCACTCTGCAGGCGCGGGCCCCTTGCTGCGGCCCTTTTTCTTGGGATCAAAGTCCTCGTCATCGTCGTCCTCCTTCTTCGACTTCTTCTTCTTGCCCTTGCCGTTCGCGTTGCCATTGGCGGTGCTAGGCTCGAGAATTGGTTCGTCTTCTAGAGCACGTCGCTTGCCGTTCGCTCGTGTCTGCCTGCTCGAGCTGGACGCAGTTGGAGTGGCCGCAGTGGCCGCAGCTTCGGGCAGATCGTCGTCGGTCTCGTCGTCCTCTTCGAAGTTCATCGAGCTGCCGTTGCGGGCGAGACGGCGTCGAGAGGCCGCAGCAATCGCAGCGGTAGCTCGCGCAGTGTCGGCTGGGGATGGGGATTGCGTCTGGCCCTGCTCTTGAGCCTGAGCCTGCTCTTGTTCAGCTTCGTCGCGGCGACGGAATCGATTCGCGTTGCGAGCCGTGATGCCTCGTTCCCTCAGGAATTCGGTCAGCGCCGACGTGGGGCCGCGAACGTTCGACATGACTATCGAGCGAGTGGCCCGTGTGTATGTTCTTGCTGATCGTAGGTGAGGAGGGTGTGTTCGCCAAGGGGCGACGCCAGGGATGAGGAAGAGGAAGGGAAAGAGCGAACAGGGTCCGGTGGCAAAATCGAAGGCCCTAGGGACAGGGCTGAGTCGTGATTTCAAGAAGAATTCAGATTCTGGCTTCCCATCACTCTACGGCGCCTTGCCTCCACCTCCAAGCGTGGACATGCAAAGCGGCTGAGATTGGACTTTTGACATGCACCGTGCTGCCCGACCCTGCGTGGCCATGCAGCTCAGCTACTGCGCAGCACGAAAGCTTTGTCGACGAGCACCGTATCATCATAATGCAGATTCGAGGTATACGCTGAACAATATATACAAGTAGCGACGCAGGCCATCAATCAAAGGATGGCAAAGATGGGACGGGTTCCAATGTTCAAAGCGCACGGGTGTAGTTTGACGGGAAGATGCCTGTGCGGCCAGCCAAGGTGCCGCGCCACCACATCTCGTCTTCCTTGCCGATAACCTCGATGACGTCTCCCGTCTTGAAGCCAAGGTCGTCAGCCTCCTGGCCATGGAAGTCGTACAGCGCCTCGACACGAGCAGGGAGCGTCGAGCCGACGTTGGCACTGCCAGCGCTGTCTACCTGATTGGAGGCGGCATACTGCTGCTGCAGTCGCGCCTTCTCTTGCTCGGCAGTCTCGTACTGTGGGGCGCCAGCACCGGTAGCGTCCGATGGATGTGCAAAAGGATTAGGCGGGGCATCTCCCGCTCTTGCGTGGGAAGAGTCAGTGGGCGCAGCGTCATTCAGCTCTTTGCCTCCACGAGCATTCACGGGGGCGTTGGCAAACTCGTAGTCCGGTGGCAGGTCGTCATAAGGCTGAGCCGCAAGTGGCGGAGCGGCTGAAGAGCTGCTGGAAGAGGCAGCAGCCTGGCTTCCTGGAGTGGGTGGCACTCGGCGCGACGAGATGCTGCCCACCGGAGCAGATGATGCCGCGGCGGCGCCATACTGGTGGTTCTCGTGTTCGGCATAGGCGCTGGCATCCTTCATGTCCTGCTCGCTGAGCTCGAGGTCTCCTGGTGTAGTGCCCTCCGGAATGCGGTCGGTACCCATGATCTCGGACCGGCCCTCTGCCGCATAGATCGTCTGCCACAGAGGCATGACCGCGCGCGGTGCAGGGGCGCGCAGCTGGCCGGAGAGGATGTTGTCGGCCGTAATGCCGGGCGAGTTGTAGAAGCGGCCGTTCTCATCGTCGCGCTTGAGAATGATGTTACCGTCGAGTTGAATACCGGCGTAGAAGCCCTTGGACTTGACGTAGGACCAGCAGGGGGCTGCCTCTACACCGGAATCGAGCATCCTACCGTTTCCGACAGGTCCGCAAGCCACGGAAAGCTCTCCGCCCAGGCTGAACTTGGGATGCTTGAACGCATCCACAGCCTTCTGGTTGCGCAGGACGAGCACAACATCGTAGATATCGAGCCCGATGAGCAGTCCGTATCCGATGGTGTGAACCAGCAGACCAGAAGGCGGCGACCACGAGCCATCCGGGAGCCTCGACAGCACGACTCCCGATCCACTTGCACCACTGAAGCCAAACCCTGTCCGGAAGACGGTGAAGATGGCCAGACCTTGTGCTTTCTGGAGGACCTTTGGCGGGATCCTGCGGATAACCTTTTGTGTCTTGCGATTGTCGTACTTGTGGGGGTCTTTGATTTTCTTTCCGTTGGCGTCGTACTTTGGGCCTGAGGGCGGGATGACGGCCGACTGGTCGCTGAGCCCCTCGGCATTGCTAGCGTCCACCTCGACAGAGGCACCCTTGGTGGTGAAGGTTCGCAGGATACGAGCCGCCTTGTCGCACTCGAGCGCGAGCTCCGTGGGCCAGAAGGATTCGGCGCCGAACTTGCCTGCGGTGCGGTTGGTCCAGTTTCCCACGGGCGCAAGCGCATTCCACGCGCCCGTCTCGACCTTCTTGTAGCCCTGCTTGAGCTTGTCCCACTTGGGATCGTCGGTCTTGAGCGCCTTTTTCAGATCGATCGGCATGTTTCCTTGGTTTGAAAGGTTGGATTGATGGTAGGGATGGTGGACGAGGGGAAGGTGAGCCCACCGGTGCGAGCTCGTTCACAGCATCCGAGAGCTCCGAGCTTTCAGTGCACAGCCTCCACTTCTGGTCCGGCCTCTTGGTCCGACGGACCTTTCCCGGAGCTTATTTTTGGTCTAACATGTGGTGGCAATTTTTCCCGCAGCACTGGCAAGCCGAGACTCGGCATGCCGTGGCCCAGAAGCTCGATCCGGACCCGTACTCTTCTTGCGAGCCAGCGCAGCTGATGCAAACGGGTGGGAGAGGCTACACGTTTGAAGTGGGAGGTTTTGTGAAGGCTGCTGATCCATTGTCCTGTCATGAATGAAACGAGTAACTGAGAGTGTGTGATGCAAACGAGAGTGGGGAGTCGCCTGGCTACAGGCCGATCTTCTTCTGGCGGTAGTACCATCGGATGCGGTCACGCTGCCACCAACTGAGGGCACCTGCAGCCGCAAAGACGACGACGATGACCACGACGGCGATGGCGATCTGTGCTCCCTGGCTCAAGCCGCCCTTCTTGCGAGCCGGGTAGGCGGCATCGGTGGGACGGCCCGAGGCCACGTTGGCGGCGCCGGTCAAAGTGGCGAAGGGCGGGTCCTTGGTGACGTTCCTGGCAATACGCGACACGGCAGCAGCGACCAGCGGCGCATTGTAGTCGAGGGCGATCTCGGTCTGCGGCCAGTCGTCGCGAATGTCAAAGAAGCGGTCCTGTTTGTCCGGCCCACCGGGGACTGCGCCGTAGAGCACGTGCAGCTCCTGAGGCGGGCTGGTGTTGATGTTGGTGATGTCGTTGCCTCCCGCAGCCATGGCCGAGTGCGGATTCTGCGGGCTGTTGGGATGCTGGCCGACGATGAAGGGGCCGTTGTAGTTGTTGTCGCCGAGGAGATAGTCGACCTGCGAGTCGGCGAGCGAACGGTATGCCGAATTCTTTGCGGACGTGGTGGCAAAGCCCGAGTAGAGATCGGCGATGAAGGCGGCGTTGAGGGCAGGGTTCAAGCTGGCCGCGTCACTGTCGCCTGCCCACCAGTAGAGACCGCCTTTGGTCTGGCTGACGTACTGCATCTTGCCCGAGGTGAGACGATCAAAGTACGACTCGGCATCGTTCTGGAAGCGGCTCATCTGGAGACCGAACGAGGCATTGTGCTGTGCCAGCTGGGTGGCGAGCACGGGCAGTGCTGCGACTTTGCGGTCCCAGTTGAGGGCAGAGTTGACGCTTGCAAAGGCGTTGGTGCCATTGGGATAGAAGACGAGGCCCTGGTTGGCGTAGCTTGCATCCGCCTTGGCCAGCGCCATCCACAGACCTGCAAAGGCAAGGTCATCCTCGTAGTCGCTCGAGGGATAGCTCTGACCGGCGGTGGGTGCAGCGGTGTTGTAGACCTGCTTGGGCGAGCTGTTGACGGCCAGGTCCCAGAGGCCTTCGGCGTGTCGGAGGAGCGCTTCCGAGTAGGTTCGGTTGTGGATAGTAGACACACCTCCAAGCTGAGCGCCGTCCGTGCTGGTGGGCAGCGAGGCGCCTCGCTCGCCGTACAGATATGCGGATGCGGCAAAGGCTGCAGCACACGAAGCGAAGGCATCTGTGCCTGGGTTCTGGCGCGTGACGCTGTAGGAAGGACGAGGACCGGGAATGTCTTGATCACCGCCCCAGTACTGATCATCGGTGCTCGGATTGCCTACAAGAACCCAGAGCGTGTCTGCGTCCGAGTGTGCTTTGGAGAGCCAATCGAGGCCCCAGCGCAGCGTCGAGTCGAGGTAGGCGTCCTGCGAGCTCCTCTCGTATGCGGAGCCGAAGCTGAGGGCGCTCCAGGCCAGCGAGGTGAGTGTCCAGCAGAATGGATAGGTGGCCTTGATGTAGTCGCCTGCGTCGTAAAAGCCTCCGGAGAGATCAGTGTTGTTGAGCGATCCGTCATTCTCGCAGCTGCTGTTCCTCCAGGAGACGCGGTTGTCGGCGGGAAGCGCGCCGCTCCTCTGAGCATCGTAGAACCAGAGAGCGTTGCCGAGCAGATCTGCGTACTGTGGATTCACGCCGTTTGTGAGATTGGACTGCTGCGAGACCGCGCCGCGCGACGCTGGCGGAGGTTGATAGACCTGCTGCGGGGTGATCTGGGCCCAAGCGCCGCTCGGAGCGAGGTGCAAGAGCGCCAGCAGCGCCCCGGCTGAAGCCATGGATCGCATGGTTCTCGGCTTTGAACGCGTCGTTGACGTCGACCTTGTGCTGGGAGAGGATGGTGGTAGTAAGACAAGCTAACGAGACAGGGCAGCCGGCAGCTGCATGGCGACGGACAAGCTTGGAGGGCCGAGGGTCAAGGGGAGCTGGCTGGAAACGGAATGCCGGGCAGCAGCAGCAGCCGCCGCGTAGGAGTTTGAAAGGGTCCAGGCATTGGCCGAGAACGAACTTCCGGCTCGGCACAATCCAGTGCGAAATCACAAAGCACACAGCGCACCGACCGGGGCACCACAACAAAGGTACGAGCGTCAGTCGTTTCCTGCAGGTGTTGGACACGCGAAGGACGACCGGCTCGCGGCTCGAGGCTCGCGGCTCGAGGCTCACGGCTGGATGAAGCGCTTGTCAGCATGGCCTCGGGTGTGCTTGCGAGGAACGAGCGTTGGTCGAGCCGGATCGACAGGGCAGTGCATCGCAGCCAACTGTGACTGAGCCCAGCGCGTCGTCGCATTCCCGCTGCCGGCGCCGAGGCATTCGGCTTCAGTGGTGGCCTGACTGAGGCCGATCCAGCTTTTGTTCGCGCTGATCTGCCTTGCAGGAAAAACACAATTGAGGCTTGTGAGGCCTCGATCCAGCTAACAAATCCGTTTCTTTCGATTCTTCCTGCCGCGTCTCGCCCAGGTGTTGGTCTCTTCCCGGTCAGGTGGAGCATGTCGAGATCCGTGCCAGCATCCCCTCTCCACGCTCTACCAGCACATTCAGCAGCAGCACCTGAAGCACTTTGCGTGTCCTCGCGCTGGCTGCCGCGATGGGTCTGCTCACCATCATCCGCAAGACCAAGTTGCGCTCGCACGAGTTCCGCTTCCTCTTTCTCGGCCTCGACAACGCAGGCAAGACGACCATCCTCAAAAAGCTTCAGAACAAGCCGCAGGACGAGATCGAGGCCATCTCGCCCACACTCGGCTTCTCTATCCAGACCTTCCAGTACGGTAATTACCACCTCAACGTGTGGGATATTGGCGGCCAGAAGAGCCTGCGGCCGTACTGGAAGAACTACTTTGAAAAGACGGATGCCATCATCTGGGTCGTCGATTCCTCCGACACCGCCCGCCTCACCGACTGCAAGCTCGAGCTCGACAACCTGCTCAAGGAGGAGCGACTGCACGGCGCAACCATCCTGATCTTTGCCAACAAACAGGACATCCCAGGTGCCCTTTCTGCCGAACAGATCAAGAAGCATCTCGAGCTCGACAATGTCTCGTCGCACAGCTGGAGGATCCAGCCTTGCAGCGCCTACACGGGGGACCATCTGGTGGACGGACTCGACTGGACCGTCAAGGATGTTGCAGACCGCATCTACTACCACGGCGATGCCGACTTCGACCAGCCGCCAATTACAGCGAGCTTGTCCGCAGCCTAGCATACGCCTCAGTGGAGCTGCTTCCAGTGGGAATGGATGCCTTGCTTCAGACTTAGCATTACTGTCTATACTTGTACAACAACGCGACGAGCGCGATTCTCCTTCTGGTCCCTTTCAGCTGCGTCGATTGCAGCAACTGCCGGAGCATCGCCATCAGACGCATCGGTGTCGAGTAACGGCTCGTCACGCACCGGCGACTTGGACCGCGCCTTGGACCGCGCTCGGATCGGTGGCCGTTCTTTCTCCCACCGTTCGCGGCCCCATGCCCACATGGCATCGAGCACCAGCATGCCTCCGCCCAACGCCCACACCAGCGTGATGGCATAGAAGAAGTTGGCGTTGGCCGAGCCCGCGGTGAGCCACAGGTGGTGGAACGCCGGCGAGAGGCAGGTGCAATACGCATAGGTCAGCGTCGACACCAATGGGTAGCGCATATCTGCAAATCAACCGATCACAGCAAGCAGAGTCAGCATACTTGCACCCTCACTGTCGACACCATCGAAAGGCCACTCGGATCCGACTTACATTCGAAGACCTGGCTGTGCAAGCTTAGCAGCGCCAGGAAGACGGCGTGGTCACCGAGCGTAGGATAGCTCTTGAACACGGCCATCACACCGCTCATGAGCGTGATACCGAAGAGCGGATCTTGCCTGTAGTTGCCGAATCGACGACCGCACCAACGTCACGTTAGTATACCCATCGTCAAGAGTGTGAGAGATCGGTTGATGTACGCACCTATACTTGATCGAGAACGGCAGCACGTAGCACGCGAGATGCACGTTGAACGTGAGCAGGAAGAAGTCGCGGAAGTGGTCAAAGATCTCCATAAAGAAGTACCACCAGAGGCCGAGGTTCGGGGTGAGGTCGGTTGCGAGCAGTATCGAGCCGTACACCTGCTCGGTCCAGGCCCAACCTTCTTCCAGCGGCACATGCATGACCGTTGCGATGTTTCCGACCAGTGCGCGGATGGAAGCGTCGCCTGGACTCAGAGCGATGGCGCGGGAAAGCCACAGCCCTCCTGCGAGCGCGGCAGGCATGAGCACTACGCATTTGAACACCATGAAGCGCTGACATAGAGAGCAAGAACCGAGGGTAAGTCAGGCGGAGATTTGGGCATGGAACGAAGACTTGACGTGCTTACCTTGGCGGATCGTACGCGATCGACGAGGAAGCCGAGCTGGCGCGACGGTTTAGCGGTCGAGTTGGCGCTGCCGATGCGAGCCACCTCGCGTTCATACACGCGCTCGCCTGCCCTTCGACGCGCGAGCTGGATCAGCATGGGCAGCAGCAATGTCGGATACAAGCTAATCAGCGACGAGAACGCCCAATGCAAAGCGAGCGAAACGGCCGAGCCTGTACAACCACAACACAGAGACTCGTCAGCCAACAGGTCGTCCGTGTATCTGCAGCTCGACACGAGCATACTCACCGGCCATGGCGGCGTGAACAGTCGCAAGCAGAGCCACGACCTCGAGGGTGACTGTGCTTCTTGCCAAGCAGGTCGCGAGAGTATACGGGTTGAAGAGGAACAGTGCTGCGACCTTGACGGCTCGGCTCTGATCCCACGACCACAGATGCGTCTTGCGGGCCCACAGTGCCACTTCGCGCGTGAGGCAGATCCGGAAGAGCAGCCATCCCGCAATCACATCTGCTGCAGTCCATATAAGCGCGGTTGGCAGCACGTCATCGGAGCGATGCATACGCTGCAACGCGCTGTTGAGGAGGGGCAGGAGGAGCGGCGAGTGATGGACCGTTCCTGCCGAGTAAGGGTCTGGGATGCCTCCGGACGCGGTGCCTGGAATCGGCGATGGTGGGTGGTGAAAGAGGTAGTGCGTCTCCCTAAGCGCGCGCAGACTGCTGAATGGCGTGCTGAGCTCCGGTCTATCCTCCAAGACCTGCGGCGCCAAAGTGTAGGCAAAGATGCCAAGTCGAAGCGCAGCCGCGCAAAGAAGGACGAGATAGAGTGCCGGTCGAGACGGCTCCAGTGCATGCGCAGTCATGACTTTGGCCGTGCCAGCCGCACGAGCCGGTGCTGTCGAACCCATGGTGTATGCTCTGGCGATCCGAGTGATGCACTGCGGGCAGGCGATGGTGGAAGCGTACAAAGGCGCCGTCGAAGTGTGTTGGTCTTCCACCACTTTTTGACTTCGGCGCGTGTTGATCTTCGACTTGGCTCGAGAGCGCCCCCGACACCCGAAATCTCTAAAAGCGAGCCTTCCGCACCCTGAAAACAGAGCTCAATGCTTAAAGATCCAGCACATAGGGCATTGACACACAGAGCCAGTCGGCCTCAAACAGACGCGGTCGACCTTTCGCAATCGATGCTTGAACGGAGATTTATAGCTTTGATTCATGGCTGTGATGCGGACCCATAGCATGCGGGATGAAGCTAGTGTCAGCTGCTATCCTTCGCGAGAACACGCCAGATAGCACACCAAGATCTGCTTCAGCATTGCCTTTTACTCTTTGGCAGGGCCAGCCGGTCCGAAGGGACCAAGGCTCGTCCCCGCTCGACACGTGCATCGTGCTCGAACTCACAAAGAGTCCAGCCGTTGCTTCCAGCGTTGTGCATAGTTGTTTTCATCACCATTTCAAGAGATCTCGGATGGCTCCGCTATGGACTCGCCTACACTTACATTGGTTCCAGATAGGCCGTTCAGAGCGACCAGCCGCGACTCAGTCACAGCTTGCTTGTCTGTGGCCGGCCGCGTCCAGCAAGGTAGCGGAAGAGAAAGGAAGAGATGTCGGGACATTCGGTCATCCCCAAATCATGGGCAGCAACGCTCGTGTAGAGGGCGCCTCCTGACGATGGTTTTAAAGTCCCGAAAAAGATTGATCTCCCGCAACTAGCCTCGTACGTGAACGTCATCCTCACCTGGCCAGCCTCTTAACTGCCCCAAGATCAAGCCCACCGAAGCTCACGAAGAGCCTCAAAGTAGAGCCGAATCTCGCGTGCAGATTTTGTAACGAGACTAGCCAGGCCTCGGCCCCGAAAGAGGCCAAGGGATACGTCACCGAGATTGCGGTTTGTGGGAAGAAAGGAAGGGGATTGGACGTGGGGCTGGGGCTGGGGATCGGACAAGGGAGACGAACTTCAACTCGTAACTGGGACCGAGTGGGCGGGAACTGGAAGAGAGGGAAGCCAGCGAGATTCTGGCTTCTGTCAAAGATGGGATGGCGTTAGGGTCGAACGAAAAGATGCTGAGGCGAGCTGCGACCCGACGATCATGGGAGCGATGTCATGGTCAGCTCCTTCGGTCCACGCTGCACAGTCCTAGGATGATGCCGGTGACGCAGCGCGATAGATCGCACCGAAGCACGATGTAAGAAAGCGGTATGCTTGTACGAGGAAGTTGGTGGTTGGGGCGCACGATGGATCCACCTGCCGGAGTCAGCGAAAGGCGAAAAAAACGTCGGGCTGCCGATCTGGAAGAAATGGAAAATCCGCACCTGCTGCTCGGCTTCTCGCACGAAATCTTTTACAGCAGCGAACCTCCACCTCGAGGTGCAGCTGAGCAGGGTCCAAGTGTCCAACGACTCTTGCGTGGGTCACGGTCACTTCCAACCTTCTCCTTCATCCGCCAGCCCTTCAAACCGCGTCCGCAGTTCTCTCTTCCCCGCAAGTCTGTCAGGACCTCCACCACTCTCCAAGATGGCATCCATGCGGAGAACAGGCACAGGCAATGGCCGTCCATCAGGTTCGTCGGTCACATCGTCGAGGCCAGGTGGACCGTCTCGTCCAGCTCCCAGCTCCGCTGCGGGTCCGCGCGCCATCTTTGACAAGTCACGTCGCATCGAAGAGTTCTCCTCTTCCGACGACAAGTGTCCACAATGCAAGACGGATCGATACCTGAATCCGCGCCTTCGGCTGCTGGTCAGCCCGTGCTACCACAAGATGTGCGAATCCTGCATCGATCGCATCTTCTCGCTCGGACCGGCGCCCTGTCCTGAATGCGGCAAGAAGGTCTCCAAGAATCAGTTTACGGCTCAGACTTTTCAGGATCTCGGTGTCGAAAGGGAGGTTGCTGTGCGTCGCACCGTAGCCAAGCTGTTCAACCGTCGCGAAGACGATTTCCTCGACCTCAAGGCGTACAACGACTACCTCGAAGAAGTCGAAGAGATCACGTTCAACCTCATCCACGAAATCGACCTGCCGCGCACGAACGCAAAGCTGGAGCAGTACCAGGCAGCGCATCGATCGGCGATTGCCAGCTCTGCGAACCTGTCGCAACAGGAATCTGATCGGCAGGCACGGATGGACGAGCAGGAGAAGCTCGCCAAGAAGGCGCGCGCCGACCGGCTGCGTCAGGAAGAAGAGAAGGAGCGCGAGGAGCGCGAACGCGAACGCATCGAGATGATGCGCCAGCTTGAAGGCGGTGGTGATCCGGAGGAGATCCTGGAGAAGCAGCGTCAGAAGCGCCAGGAACGCGAAGAACGCCAGCGCCTGCAGGAGCTCGAATCGCGGCGGCGCGAGAAAGAGGCCGCTCAAGCTGCGTCCAACGGTGCGGGGGGTTCTGGTGATGCTGTTGACCGTCGACCTTGGAGTGTCGACATGCTGCTGGACTTCGAGGGGCCTCTGGCGTACTTGGACGATGCAAGCGCGCTCTTCGACGTGCGCAAGGCGCCAACGGCTCTCGGTGGCCTCGAGGGAGTAAGAGGAGTGTCGGGCTACGAGGATCCTTGGCTCAAACCCGCGTGGATTACCAAAGACATGATTGCACGCTATCGCGCCGGCGGCTTTGACTGGGAGCGCCAGGTGTGGACGCGTGGTCTCAGCGCCGCATGTCAAGGTATTGGCGCATCACCCCTCACCGACGCCCCAGATCTGCAGGCACTCCCGAGCATGGAGGTCGACTCATAACTTCAGATGCTCCGTATGCTCAAATCATATTTACCGATTGCGCTTTCATTCCGTCTGGGACTACGCGCGACACCGACATGGACACGAATGCGACTGCGCCGGGGGGGCATCAGACGTCTTTGCGGTCCTCGAGCTTATCCTTGACGACGTCCTTGGCGCCAGCGACGGCGGAGAAGCTACATACGATGAGCGAGGAGGAGAGATAGTGTCAGTTGACTGAGCAGGACATGAGTGCGAGCACTCGCGGTGACCGAGGCAAGCTCACCCGGAAGCGCCGGTCTCGTTGTCGGCATTCTGCATGCCCTGACCGCGGTCAAGGTCGGTCTGACCGGACTGGTGCAGCTCGGCGGATTGCTGAAGCTGGCCCTGGTCCTTTTGAAGCTGGCCGGCTGCCTTTTTGGCGCTGGCGGTATCGGCGGACGACATAATGAGCTGGACGTTGGCACTGACTGGGGTGGTGTGGGGTCTATCAGAGACTGCGGCTAAGCCGCATTGTGAATCTCATGTATATATAGGGCCCCTTGCGAAGGAAGAGTTCGGATGGGGGGGAGGGCCACCGATGGAATGACGCAGTCAAAGGGTCTGTCTGACTCAACACGACCCTCACACCGCGAGCCTGCCGCTCGCCGTCTCTGATCGGATCGCCGCACTGTCTGCCGTCTTGACGATCTTCATTAGACTGATACAGTATCGAGCACGCACGTCGTATCGTTCGTTGAGTGCCTCTGCACCAGCTGCGTGGATGTGCAGGTGTGAGCTCAGCACGAGAAGCGTTGGAGTTCTGGAGGGACGTGCCAAAAATCTCACATCTGGAAAGCTGCGCTGAGCGTGTCTCACAGCAAGGGGAGGCGTCGAGCGCCTGCTGGCTGAGACCTGCGACTTTCTTGGTCCAGCCGATTTAGAGTGCAGGTGGGTGAGCTGAGTGAGTGAGTGAGCAGGCAGTAGGCAGCAGGCAGCACCGTTGAAAGCGACTCAACGCGCAGCATCTGCTTTGCTCGAGTCAGGCTGTCAGAGGCAGGTCCCACACCTGTTGCACTGCGGCTGCTGC